CTCTAGGACAGAGTAGGACTGACCCATAGGGTTTCCAAGGAGTGTCTGGTGGATTCGAACTGCTGACCTTTTGGTTAGCAGCCTGAGCTCTTAACCACTTTGCCACCAGGGCTCCATAAAGCTGATTAGCCTTCCTATAAGAACCAGGACAATAAAACCAGACAGAAATTATCTGCATCTCTACTGGACAAAAATCTACAAGTTAACAAGTAATTTCTCAACCCCTGGGCCCTAGTCAATAGTAAAACCAAACCAGTTGCCATCCAGTTGATTCCAATTCATGGCAACCCCACATGTGTCAGAATAGAACTGTACTCTGTAGGGTTTTCAATGGCTGTGATCTTTTGACAGTAGATCACCAGGCCTTTCTTCCAAGCCATCTCTAAGAGCTTATCCAACACAGATGCAGTTCCCTGGAAAATGAAATAATCCTCGAGTGGGTCTGTTAAGCTATACTGCAATATGACATTGAGAGAACATGCTTCCCTCCTTTTACCTTTTTTTCCAAGTTTTGGATAATTTTTCTTAACATCTTATTAAAAGTGAATTGATAATTAGGTATATAAAGAAAAAGTTAATAATTCTTCATCCTCCTCTGATAACCAATTTAATAACCCTATGTTTGTGTTAAGGAGCCCTGGTGGTGCAGTGGTTAAGCACTCGGCTGCTAACTGAAAGGTCCATGTTTCAAACCTACCAGCCATTCCATGGGAGAAAGATGTGGCAGTCTGCTCCTGTAAAGATTTACAGCCTTGGAAACCCTATAGGGCAGTTCTACGCTGTGCTATGGGGTCACTATGAGTCAGAATCGATTCAATGGCAGTGGGCTAGGCTGGCCTGGGATGTTTTTTGTTAACTCACATTTCCTTTCTCATAAAAACATACATAGACTTTTTTTTTTTTTTAATTTTTTTTTTTCTTATTGTGCTTTAAGTGAAAGTTTACAATTCAGGTTAGTCTCTTATACAAAAATTTATACATTCATTGTTTTGTGGCCCTACTTGCTCTCCCTGTACTGTGACAGCACACGCTTCCTTTCTACCCCAGATTTCCTGTGTCCATTCAACCAGCTCCTGACCCTCTCTGCCTTCTCATCTTGCCTCTGGATGAGAGCTGCTCATTTAATCTCTTGTATCTACTTGAGCTAAGAAGTACACTCTTCACGAGTATCATTTTATACATCGACTTTTTTAGAAATGGGATTATTAAAATTCTTTACTCTGTGACATTTATTCTTTTCATTTAATATGTAATGAACAGCCCTCTGGGTTATAGACATTGATCTAATTCATTCTTATTATACCAGTTCCATAAGCTAGATGTACCATAGTTTACTGAACCATTGCTCTACTGAAGGAAATTGAGATTGTTTCCAGTTCTTCACTGGTACAATCAATGTTATAATAAAATGGTTTTAATACGTGAGTGTGAAAACTGCTGAAGGCCAGGATCTGAATAATGACAGTGAGAAGGGAGAGGAGGGAATGGATCAAGGAAATGTCTTGGGGAAAATGGACTGGATTCAGTGGCCAGTTGAAAATTTTGGTGTAAGGGTGGGAGAATGAGTGGTGTTACCTCTTTATTGACAGAGGGAATAGAAGAAAAATAGCCGAAGGTTTTGGAGAAGGGGGTGGCAGAGAAGCTGAGAGGATAGGACCTGTTTTGAAAATGCTGGGTTTGGGATGGGCATGCTATGTCTGCCTAGCAGGCAGCTAAAATGAAGGGTCTGAAGGGGGGAAGAGGCCACAGAGAGAGAGACTGATTTGAGAATCCTTTGTGCAAAATCATATTGAAGCTGTGAGAGTGGATGAGCTCTGTTCCTGGAAGGCCTTATAGAGGAAGGAGATGGGGTCTGTGGGAGGTACCTGCATTTAAAGGTCTGGCAGAGACTGAGAAGGAGTGGTCGGAGGAGGAGAAGAGGAAATGAGGAAAGCCTTGGGAGGCAAGAGCGAGAAGAATCTGTAACTGTAACTGTTCTTGTTGTGTGCTGTTGTGTCGATTTCGACTCATAGTGGCCCTGTGTGACAGAGTAGAACTGCCCCATAGGATTTTCTAGTCTGTAATCCTAATGGGAGCAGATCACCAGGTCTTTCTTCTGCAGAGCTGCTGGGTGGGTTCAAACCTCCAACTTTTCAGTTAGTGGCCGAGTGCTTAACTGTTTGTGCCACCAGGGCTCTTTAATCCGTCTTTAAGAAATGCACATAATAATGCTAAGTATCTTTCAGGGGTTAATGGCATAGGCTTTCCCTCTCACTTCTTGGGTGCTCTCAACTTGTGTAAGCCTTTAACTACCACTATCTCTGTGAGTCTCTTTTCAAACACTAGATTCCTTGTTACATAAACCACCAGAGATAAGGGTACAGTAAGTATTACAAGTCAATGTGGGCTACTGCTTTGAATTTAAGGACTAAGCCAAATCAAACTGCAAAGGGACAGAGTTAGAAAATAGCTTGGCAACTGTTAACAGTAGGTGCACAACCCTTCATGTAACGACTAGGTTCCTATAAGCTAATACTTTATTAATATAGAAGAGTGTATGCCAATTTCACAAAGCCATATAAACTAAGAAAGTAAATATGGAGAATTTCTAAAACAGTTAGTATAAGCTTTGAAACAGTCTCAACATTCTGTATTAGCATGAAGGTTACCCTATTGCCACCAGATCTTTTTATAAAGGGTCTGTGAATTTTTAAACCTAGCCCAGGCGATTGAAGGAGATGATAAAGGGAATTTCTAGTAGTCCAAATGCATTATTTTGTCACCTCTGATGGTTTGGAGATATACCTAGGTTTGAAAGAGTGACTGAGTCATCGGAACTGCTGATGTCACTGATGAGTGAAATTGATGGGAGCCTTCCAAGTTTGAGGCAGGATTCAATTTAGTTCAAAAGTTGTGTTTCCAATATTATATTAGATACCATGTTGGGTGTTTCTGAAGAAGAATCAAAAGACGCAAAGATGAGGACTCTTACCCATAAAGTACTTTGTAGTATGGTGGGACAATAAGATATACATAGAACAATATTGAAGCAAAATCTCTAAGATGTTCTGTGGTCCATAGGATGGTGTTTCTTGCTGCCCGTGGAATTTGCAGTCAGAGTGAGACTAGCCCGTGTTTGGGTTCCGTAGACTCACAGGACAAATTTGGTAAGAAGAAGCAGGTGTGAACAACAGTGGGGGCAGAAGGAGGCACTGCCAGGTTAGGGGAGGCAGCTGGTGGTGCCTGAGCTGTTTTCCTGGTAATATGATCAGAGTTGTATTTATAGGGTGGTTCATTTTCAGGCGTGATGGACACAAGCCATAATCTTGTGTTCTTGATGTAAATTGCAATGGAGATCATAGCTGTGGAGTGTTGATCTAAACAAAGGCTGATAAATCCGCAGTGGACAGCTTGTTTGCAGGTGTTCTGTCACCTTGAATGTCTTTGACAGCTTGCAGCTAGTAAAGACTGCTAACTCGGGGTGGAGGCATAGTTACCTTGGTGAGAATCTTCCTGCTCTCAGCATTAGGCCACCTAAATGAATTAGTAAGTGGGAGTTAATCAGTGGAACCCCAGAAGCCTTCTAGTAGGTCCTCACAAAAGCAATTTCATGATTGACTCACCCTCTTCCCACCGACTGAGTGCCTATTCCGGCTGCTTGCAGGAACAACAACAAAACCCTAGATTCTTTGCCTGAGGCCCTTAATTATACAGAAGTCACTTGATGCTTGGGAATAGAGAGGTTAAGGGTGGAGATTCCGTCCTTGGCTGTAGCTTCCCAGTCATTAAGCCCTGGAAAATCTTCACTTTCATGGGCTGCTTTAGGCTTTGTTTTTCGACATTATTGTGACCTGCTCTGGTCTTGCCTGAACACGTAGACTAGACCTCAACCCCTGGCACCCCAGGACCTGCTTGTTTGCACCGTCTCTGGAATCCACAGCTGCACAGCTTTGAAAGAGACGCCGAAATCTGGACACAACAAATCCCCTTTTGCATGTATCGAGGTTGTGAACAACAGTTTTATCCTAGACATGTCCCCTTTTCTTTTTTGGTATAACTGTTCATTTTTATCTGTCACTAATACATATATATGTACGTATATATAGACACATACACAGTATATATACACAGTCAGGGGTGTAGCAAGGATAGTGAGCGCCCAGGGCAATCTCAAAGTTGTGCCTCCTCCTCTATTTCAAGATGAATAGACGTTGATGGCGGCAACAGGTCCGCAGAAACATCTTCCCCGCTCTTATCCAGCTGCCTTAGTCAGGTGCCTTTCATATTTGTGGCACCTTGGAATGTCATTCCGTGCCTCATTTGGCACCCCCTTGGACTTGTGCCTGGGGGCAAATGTCCCCCTCGGCCCTCCCCACTATGCCTCTATACACAGATACATATATATGTCACACACACACACACACACACACACATACACACAAACATATATATAATTGGCTTCTCCTATTTACTCCACAAAGAGAAAATTAAACATCTAAATTTTTCATAACTATGGGAAAGTATTTCCCACATGTGAAGAAATGGAAACTGGAAATTTCAGATGTTGCTTTTGGAATAGTGGGAATTTATTACTCAGCTCAGTAACAATCTTGGCCAAAACCAAGTAGTTGTGTTGGCAAGTGGTGGGCACCTCTCCTAAATAGCACTGCAAGGGATACCTTTGTTCATATTAGAAACAGCCTTCACCAACGGTATCTTTCCATCAAAGGCTGTTTGATTACCTCTGAATCTTAGACATACTACAAAAGCAGTTGAGACCTAGCCAATGGATTTTACTTGTATGAGATATCGCATAACTCCCAAAGGGAGAGGAAAAAAGGGGGGAGGGATGCAAGAGAGAAATCAGAGCCCAACAATAAATAGCTCTTTGTACCACTCCCCTCCCTCCAGTAACCCCAAACCATTGAGATCATAGAGTAAGCAACCAGCCTTCAGTAGAAGGCATCTGCTGCCCAGAAACTTGGCTGATGATGACCAGATGTGAACTTGTCTCTCTATAGTGTGTGGCTGTGACCTGGCACAAGGGGGCTTCTTCATCAAGAACGGGGAGTACCTCTGCACCCTGGACTACCAGCGGATGTATGGGACATGCTGCCATGGCTGTGGGGAGTTCGTGGAAGGAGAGGTGGTGACTGCTCTGGGCAAGACCTACCACCCCAACTGCTTTGCCTGTACTATCTGCAAGTAAGTGATTGTCTTTGCAATGCCTACATCTTCCCCCAGCAGGGAGATACTGGGTTTGGCTCTTATAGCTTGGGATACAACATCTTTTATCTTGAGTTGTATTTAGTCTTCAAAATCCTTTTTCTTATGTGTCCTTAGATTTCTTTATCTTCCTACTGTATTATCAGTCTTAGTTGGGAAACTTTAGATACGATGTCCACTGTGAAGTAATATGGCTGATTTTAAGTGGTTTGAAACCAAATATGAAAGTAGCTCTGAGTCTTGAAACATGTTGGAGAATGACAACATCGGGGAAATGGTGTAATTGCTTAGAAAGATAAAGCTTATTTGGAAGTATAAGTTCTTGTGTGTGTGTGTGTGTGTGTGTGTGTGTGTGTGTGTGTGCACGCGTGCATGTATTTAAAATAGTCTCATTTACTCTATAGCAGGAGTTGGCAAACTATAGCCCATGGACCAAATTAGACCTACTGCGTGTTTTTATAAATAAAGTTTTATTGGAACATAGCCATACCTATATATTTACATATTATTTATGGCAGATTTGAGTAGTTCTGACAAAAACCCTATTGCCTGCAAAGCGTAAAAAAATATTTACCATCTGACCTTTTAGGGAAAAAGTTTGCCAGCCTCTGCTCTATAGGCATCTGTTACCTACCAAGGTTAAGTCTAACCTCACAAGCCAGCTTGATTAAAATGATCAGTCAGAGAGAAATGTGAAGTGTGAGTGGGACGATTTGTTGTTGTTGTGTTTTGAGGACTACCCATATGGAATTTAAGATGGTTTGATTCCTGTAAGAGACTGACCAACAAGTTTCAGCCAGTGTATTGATCAATTCTAATTCAGCAATCCCATGCCTTTTGGAGTAGTGTTGATTATTGTTTGTTGCATTTTGCTATGCCTTTCTAAAAAACAGAGGAGGTTTTTTTTTGTTTTTCAGCATCTCATATTTCTAAGCCAGAGGGATGTAATTTTATGTAATTAATTAACAAGATAATACGGATAGATAAATCATAATAAGACTTCGAGGAAATATCCATAATAAAATTATTTTAATAGCTGGATAGCTATTATCTCATTTCTCAATTAATTACATTCTTTAAAAATCGCAATTTTTTGGAAAAATTCTGGCTTAATGGGTGAAAATTTTGTCTGTATTTAATCAAAAGCAAAGCTTCATGCTGACATCTCTCTTTTCAGGCTGTAGCACACATGCTCAAGAGCCCTGGGCTGGCATTCAGGAGACCGAAGTTCTAGTCCCGCTTGACGGACTGAGAGCTGTGTGTATTAACCTTTCCAAGGCAGTTGCCTCATCTGTAAAATAAGAGGCCGTGGACTAGATGAGAGTGGCTCCCTAAACCTGGCTGATCACTGGCATCCCCTGGAGTGGGGGGGTCTCTTTAAAAATACCCATTTCTAGCCTTCCTACCCAAAACCAAACCCTGATTCTGATATAGTAGTTGGGGGGGCGGGGTGGGGGGTTCTCAAGTACAGTGTTACTCAGCCAGATTGGGAGACCCTGGTCCATATAAACTCTAAGCCCTTCTTACAGAGCAGGTTTGAGGCTTATTTAGGTTTAATTAATGAGCATGAACCAGTAGGCCCACTGGCGTCCCCAGAGTATGACTTTGATTGTTAAAGAGAGAGCAAGTTCTGAGCTGGTGTTAGCCACCTGTACCTGCCTCTAGCCTGGTCTCCCTAGCTGAGTGTTGTGGATTGAATTGTGTCCCCCAAAAATGTTTATCAACTTGGCTAGGCCATGATTTCCAGTATTCTATGGTTGTCCACCATTTTGTGATCTGATGTGATTTTCCTATGTATTGTAAATTCTACCTCTATGATGTTAATGAGGCAGGATTAGAGGCAATTATGTTAATGAGTCAGGACTTAATGTACAGGATTAGGTTGTATATTGAGTCAATCTCTTTTGAGATATAAAAAGAGAGAATCAAGCAGAGAAGAGAGGGACCTCATACTACCAAGAAAGAAGTGCCAGGAGCAGAGCGTGTCCTTTGGATCTGGGGTCCCTGTGCTGAGAAGCTCCTAGACCAGGGTAAGATTGATGACAAGGACCTTCTCCCAGAACTGACAGAGAGAAAAAGCCTTCCCCTGGGCTGGCACCCTGAATTCAGACTTCTAGCCTCCTAGCCTGTGAGAGAATAAACTTCTGTTTGTTAAAGCCTTCCCCTTGTGGTATTTCTGTTATAGCAGCTCTAGATAACTAAGACACTGGGTAATCCAGGCAACTCAGTGAACCTCTCTGGGCCATATCTGTACAAGGTGGAAAGTGACAGAGCACCAGGATAGGAGAGAAGACCTCTGCTCCTCGGGACTTGTGAAATCCATTGATATAAGAATTTAAAAGTCTCCTTGATCACTGGTACAAGCCCATTTATGGAGTTGTTTTAAGTCCACATTTACTTATGTGTGTGTTGTGTGTTATAGTTAGGCAGCAGAGGGGCAACTTACAGAGAGATAGCGGCTGTGAAACTAAAATACGATGTCCAGAAGCTTGAACTTGTCCTTAAGTATTGCTTCTGACTCCCATTTGTGACAGCATCTGGCTTGTGAGTTTTTTACATTTCCTAACTGATAGTATCACACATTTGAAAACTCATGTTGATGAAGATTACTGGCAAATTGGCTGATTGCGAATAAACGGGCATGGAAATTGTCGTATGTCAATATTAGTGGCTGTTTTAAACAGGCTGTCTGCCTGCTGAACTGGGAGGAAAAGAAACTGATAACATACATGCAGAAGACAACATTTTCGCAAAATGTGCTGTTACTGCTGAATAGCTAACGTGGAAGGAAATTGCCTTTCTGAAAAGTTAATACTAATTCTTATGCAGATATTTCCTATTGACAGTATGTCAGATTTCTCCAGGCTTATAAGGGACAGGGTCTCAGACACTGAAACATTCAGGCCATCCATTCAGCTGCCTGAGACACAGTCTAATTCAGTGTAATTATGACACAGATCTAGGCGTGGCTCCAGAGAGCCGAAAGAGCTAATGCTTGAGTTGTGACCAGTTCTCCTGGGGAGGGGCTTGAAGCTGGAGTAGGAATTCATGGCATTTAAAATAGTTCTTCATGAAGGATTTTCCATTTGGAAATTTACTGTTCTGTGTGCCTTGTTTGATAACTTGTTGGAACATCCTTCTACTAATGTGCGGAGTAAATCATTCCATTTTACTGTCTGGTTGTGGTTGAACCAGTGCTCTCTCCCTTCTTCCCTCAAATGATTTATTTGTTTGGATTGTATCCAGCTGGCTGGCTTGGTTAAGACTGCATTTCAGACATTTTGGCTGGTGCTCCTCCAAGAAATGAATTTGCACCAGAGGGCAGCAAACAGAAGAGTAAGGAAAGCAATGAAATCACTAGAATAACCTTGAGGGTGATGTCTTTCTGTCTCCAGGCGCCCGTTTCCACCCGGAGACCGAGTCACATTCAATGGGAGAGACTGCCTTTGTCAACTCTGTGCCCAGCCGATGTCCTCCAGCCCTAAGGAAGCCACCTGCTCCAGCAGTAAGTGCCCAGTGACCGTTTGAAATGAATTCCTTCGTAGCTCAAAGGTAGCGTAGGCAGGTACCTGTAGCTGGCTACTTTTTTGGAAAAGCCTGTTTCACTGGAACCAAAAGTAGTTCTGTCTAAGACATTTTCAATTGGAAATCATGATCCTTGGTGAAGCCATTCACTAAAACCCATGCAGTGAAAAACATCTCCTTTATTTCAAAAAGACAAAGAGCTGGACATCAAACTGTGCATTTTAACTTTAAACGAAGGACAAAGAATTCTAACACTTTACTTTAGAGAATGCCCATCTGTGGTCATGGAGGTTGAGATGTGACCGCATTTGGAGGTGATGTAATTGATTGTTCTCTCTGTTAAAAAATCTGTCTCCACTGTCCCCAAGTTGCAAATGTTGTGACTTAGACCAGTTAACAGTTGCTATGGAATCAGTTTTGATTCATGGTGACCCTGTGTGTGTCATCATAGAACTGTGCTCCATAGAGTTTTCAGTGGCTGATTTTTCAGAAGTAGATTGCCAGGCCTTTCTTCCAAGGTGCCCTGGGTGGACTCAAACCTCCATCCTTTCAGTTAGCAGCTGAGCACATTAACCATTTGCACTACCCCGGGACTCCGTGGTGACTTACACTTACCCTTAAATCGTCCTTTATCCATCTGGAAGATCTCTGTCATTTATTCATTTAGCAGATAATTTGCTGAGCACCTACAATGTGCATTGCACCAGTGAGATAGCCATAAACATAAACTCTGTATCCTCAGGAAGCTGGCTTTCCATTGGGAGCAGGTAGACAATAAATACAGACACACAAAAATATCTGCTATGCCAAGAGGTAATTAAGTCCTAGAAGGAAAAATGAGGTAGGGTCAAGGGGCTGCATTTATACAGGCAGTCAGGGATGACTTCTCTAAAAGATGGCACCTCAAGAGAGACCTGAAGAAAGCGTGGGAACAAGCCCCACATAGATGGTGGGATTTGTAATTCTTTATGAAAAGGCCTCATCTGACCTGTGTGAATCCCAATAGAACCAACTTGCCCCGAAATAAAAGTAGTGGCCGATTACACTATTTCTTCTAGTGAATGACCTTGGGTAGGTGCAGGTCAGTTAAGGACTTTTAAGTGAAACATTCTGAGCACATCAAGCAAGGAAGCTCCACTTCTGTCTCGCCTCCTCCCTTTCCTGGCCATTGGGAAATGGTTTTTGTGTCTTTCGCCAATCCTTGAGAGACCTGGAATGAATCCTTTAAGCCCTGCGAGTCTCAGTACATAAGTATGAGATAAGCTGCTTCTGCTCCGGAGGAATTTTGTATGGTTTATAACAGGGGTTCCAAATCTTCCCATTAAATAGAAGAGCCTTATGGTGGTTGAAAATAAAAATGTTCTGGCCAAAGTATTTGCATGGAAATTGGATTTTGACCACTGGGAGGAAAGGAGAAAATGAAAGTATGGATGCACCTTATTCAACACACAGGACCGGATCCTTAGGTTATGAATTTATACGACTCACTGATAAATAGCAAGGGCTGGAGTAGGACAACAACTACAAAGCAAGGCACAACGCTAGAACCCTGGTAGGGTTTCAGGGTGAAACAGTCACTGTTCTTAAGTACCTTGCCCAGAGAGAGAAAACTAGGCTAGGCCCAGGTCATTGGGAAGGTCATCGTGGGCACAGTCACAGGCATTGTTTGAGAGGGTGCATTAGTTTCCTGGGGCTGCCTTCACAAATTACCACAAAGCTGGTGGCTTAAAGCAACAGAAATTTATTCTGGAGGCTAGAAGTCCAAGTTCATGGTTTTGGCAGATCCATGCTCTCTCGGAAGGGGAAGATGTTGTCCTTGACTCTTACTTGTCTTTTTCTAGTAGCTCCAGGTGTTCCCTGGCTTGTAGCAGCATAACTCCAATCCTTGCCATGTCTTCACATGGCTGTGTTCCCTCTGTGTCTGTCTGTGTCTCTTCTCATTTTATAAGGACATAAATCATATTGGATTAGGGCCCACTCTTCTCCAGTATGATTGCATGTAACTTACTAGTTACATCTACAGTGACCCTATTTTCAAATAAGGGTCACATTAACAGGTGCCAGGTATTAGGACTTGAATATATCTTTTGGGGGGATGCAATTCAAACCATCACAGAGGGATTGCTTTGCAAGTACACTACCTAAAACCTTTGGAGGAATTCTTCAGTTTAGTTAAGGAAAGAGAGTTTTATGATGACAGCTGTAGCAGAAAATCATGTCCATAAGGCCTGTGACAGGAATGGTTGCATCCTCCGTTTTGTAATGCCCAACCATGTTTTTGGATAGGTGGGGAAATTGAGACCCATGAGCTTACTCAAGGTCATACAAGTTATTCAATGACAAGGTTGGATTATATGCAGATCTTTTGACTCCTGGTTATTGCTCTCTTTGTTGTTTCGCCTAATACTCCTCGTTGTTTGGTTTAAGAAACAGAAGTGGGATACTTTTTAAAGACCTTCAGCCCTCTCAGTCTGTACACGCTGGGAATGTGTTTTCCGGTCACAGCTCTACCAAAATGGTTATTCAAATTTTTATTTAAATGCTTTTTTCTTTGTCTGTATTTTCTATTTTTATATGACATACATGTTATACAACATAAAAAATAAATGATAAAAATATAAGTGTAAAAATGTAATCAAACTCAGATTTGTTGCCTTTTTAATACTAGATTTAATAATTATTGCTTGTGTGCAAATTCTTGGGCCAAATCATGCTTTCTCCTTTGCTCATGATGGAGAGAATTCCATTTCTGTGCAATTCCTTCAATCAGAACATTTTTATTTTTAACAAGTACTTGTCTATTTAGATAAGTACTCAAATGGCATTTGTGTGGCATGTGGGTGTGGATGTCTGTGGAAAAAAGAGCTCTTATATCTAGATACACACATGCAAAATACTCAGACTAGGCAGGAACACAAATACTAGAGCAATGGGGAATTTTCAGCCAGCTTCTGAAATTCATTGGAGCATAATTAGAAAACATTTGGTTGTAATTTTGTAATGTTTTAAGAATATTCTGTACTTTAAAATTATCCTGGTGTGACTTTAATTCCTTTTTTAAAAAATAATAAAGCAACTCTCTAAACTTGGCAAAGCTTCCTAAATAGAAGCCGAAAATGTATCTTTTTTTAGTGTGAAACATTTATGCTCTCCCTTGATAATGTTCACAGAGTCAGTGAAATATATCAGAGAGCCAGCATCTTCTTTTTCCTTTGAAATGCTCTGTTCAAAAACTGGTTTGCTCATCTGAACCACAGTTTTATTTCACATCTGGCGGCTGGTTTCCCGTAGTCACTGAATTGGAGTTTGAGAGGGAAGACAGAGGCAAGAATGGCCAGCAGAAGCTAAGTGATGGTGCAGTGAGAATGTGTACAAAATATTCTCTGAGTTTTCTGAATAGAGATGCAGCATTTCTATTCCAGCTGCTCAGAGGCTAGGGCATCTCTATTGCATTATGCTCGGTGCTTTCTTCTACCTTAAAGTAATTCCTCTAACCTTTATAGCTATTGTATTTTCTTCTTCAAACACTCACATATTATTTACTGTGTAACTGTCTTACAAATATTAGCTCGTTTAATCCTTGTCACCACCCTATAGATGTATACTAATTGTGTCAGGGATCCCCAAGATCACACTAAGGTTCAATGATTCACTAGGAAGACTCATGGAATTTAGAAAAGTTTTTATACGCAAGGCTATTGTTTATCACAGTGAAAGTATACAGGTTAAAATCAGCAAAGGTAAAAGGCACATAGGGCAGAGTCTAGGAGAGACTAGGCACAAGCTTCGAGTTGTCCTGTCCCAGTGGAGTGCACGAACAGTGCTTAATTCTTCCAGCAACCACGGGTGACAATACATATGGAGTATTGTCAACCAGGGAAGCTCATATGAGCCTTAGTGTCCAGGGATTTTATTGGGGGTCAGTCATATAGGCATGGAGCCCCTCCAGAAGTCAGGTTGATTACAGGGTGGCCCAATGTCCCCATCATAAATCACATTGTTAGCATAAACTATCTGGAATGGTCCAAGATCCCAGGTAAACAAAGATACTCTTATCAGACAGGATATTCCAAGGGCTTAGAGGATATCTCCCAGGAGCTGGTCAAGGACCAGACCTTTCTTTGGATACCCCAGACCTACTGAGTCAGTCCTTTACTACACACTAATATTACCCCCTTTTTACAGATGAAGAAATGAAAGGCGCTAGAGGTTAAGTAATTTGCCCAAGGTCCACAGAGAGTAAATGGCAGAGCTAGGATTCAAACCCAGGCTGTCTTGCTCTAGATTCCATATTGCCGTCCCTAATATTTCTTTTATAACATAGCTGTCACTCTTATTTTCAAAGGTGGGGGCACTGAGCCTTGGAGCAATGACCTGACTCGTGCAGATATATGCAAGTGTTTTAACTCCAACGACAGTGCTCTTTCCACATGCCAGAGCTGCCTCTCTGTTGTATCGTGATTTGGCAAATGGGAACTATCAGGAAATTTCTCATATAAACAGACTACTTCAATAAAATGTGAATGCCCCTGAATTAGATAAAACTGTTGCTGCATCCAGTCTAATGCAATTTCAATTCAATAAGCAATAAACATTATATAAAATGGAGATAATAATAAAACTTACATAACAAGGCTGTGTGACCATTAATTAAACTTTTACTACTAATAAAAAATAATCAATTGTCTATGTCCAGCTGATCCATAACTAAAAAAAAATTTTTATGGACAGAAGACATTATGTTCTGCCAAAACATTGAGCATAATCCTCTAAAACTTAATTTCATTCTATTTTCTCTATGTATTTACTGGTAATTTGAAGGACTGAGTTCCCAGGGGTTAAGGAAGGGTGTGGGGGTGAAGTCTGTGTATGGCGACCAAGAAGCTAGAAGCACAGGGAACGGGGTTGGGATTGTCTTTGCCGACAGAGCCCATGTCTATTTTAGGCACCTGAGCTGGAGTGGGCTGTTGTCTACAATCG